AAAAAATCTGGAAAAATTCATAGCAATAGAATATAATATATTACACTTTATACGTCTTTTTTGAGTCTGTACCAATAAAACTCAAAAGTACGCCATTTCGGCCAAATAAAATTCGGGTCATATGAATTATTTTTTTCTTTCACTTCCAAAAGGAATTTTTGGGATCGGTTAAGAAATAGCGGAGAAATCTTTGAAAAACCGAAATTAACCATTTCGGGCTTATAGCGAACCCATGAGTGGATTGGGGTCTAGAAAAATTTTCAAAAATTTTTTTTTTATAGTACACTACATACATGAATTTTTTCAGATTTTTTAGAGCTGAGGCAGTTTTACCCCCCTTATCCGGCTAGGCCCTTTTGTATCGTCTTTTGTCATGAAACGAGCTTTTATATGAAAAATATCGATACATACTATAAAAGTAAAATAAATTTTATATAAGATAACATATTTGACAGAAACCTTATGTGCTATTAGAAAATAAGTACTTGACTTTAAAATATCAGAATAAAATAGAATATAATCGCTTTATTGTTTTTTTTTTTCATGTACAAATTTTCTGCATATATGCTTTCAAATTGCGTTAATTGAAATGTTTGATGAAAAAGATTTCCTTAATTTACTCAGTGTTGCATTCCTTTGACGATTGAGAAATCAACTTTGTGTGACATCTTTGACAAACTCTTACAGGTCTGAAAATTCCCAGTCTCGAAATTTTGGATTCAAATCTGCTGCACCTAGAAGTTAAAAAATATTTTAAAGTGTGAGAATAATTGCTTTGTAGAGATTTTTAAAATAGAAAATATTGTAAAGTAACAATGTAGCATAAACTAATAGATTCGTTTATCATTTTTTACCCAAAAAAAATAATACACATTAAAGTTTAACTGAAACTATTTGTAAAAAAAGTTGGAAACCAAAAGTCTTAGGCTGACGTCACATGTAGTGCCATAGAGCATGCAGGATAGAACCCTCCCCATACGCTTATGTATTAAGTCTATTCTACTGTTGCATAGAATATCCGCAGTAGAATAGACTTAACACAATTTAGCTCATGGGGATGATTCTATCTTGTCCGCTCTATCGCTCTCCATATGACAGCAGTCTTACAGAGGCTCTTGGGAGACGACTTAGATCTACTTTATACAAAATAAATAAATATTTTCTATAACAATAAATATTTAACCATGTATTACCATTCATAAAATAAATGACAATATTAATTTTCTTTACACTCTATCGTTGAAAATTTTTTGACATTTTCTGCAAGTAATTTATCCAGCAACTCCTCCAGATCAATTTATAGGGCATCATGTGTAAGGTTCTGCAAAATTTTTACAACTCTTTTCTGGCTAGGATTAATTAGACTTTTTAGTGTATCACTGTGAGTATGAAAAAAAAAAAGGAAGATCTTGTTATTTGTATTATACATGCCTAAATATTCAAATGAATTAAAAGTTTTTAGTTAGACAATTTTTGACAATTCAACAGTTTTTTATTAAAATACTTTAAATACTAAGCCTTAAAATAAAAATTTTAATGGCTTAGTGGTAACATGCGAACCTCCTAGCCGGAAAAACTCGAGGGTTCACGGGTTCGAATCCCATCGAAATTTATCAAAATTTTTTTTTGGGCTTTTTCAATTGCATGAGTACCCAGGATGCCAAAATCCCACTTATCTGATTTTTAAAAACGAGTAGTGAATTTAAACTAGTGATCACTAGAATTTTAGGGGCTTGTTTTTCAAAGAAAAGCTAATACATAATCAGCTCATCGGGCAAAGTCTCAGTTAACTTCAAAAAGGTTGGTACAGCGAGTTAGATGGTGTATTGGAAAATATCTTTCCATTAAACTTGATAATAGCTGGGGTGTGATTGAGGCTATTGCTGTGCTCTATAAATAGTACCAAGTTGGTCGGATGACCAAATCATCTGAGGGAAACTTTGCATGAAGCCTGCAAGAAAAAATCGCATACTTAGAAAAAAAGAGGCTTGTTATAGAAAAAAAAAAAAAAAAAA